TCAGAACCTCAAAAAGTTTGTACCTGTCAGTGCCTGGCAATTTCAGGAAGATACGGAGCAGGAACTGAACTTCTTTCCTGCTGGTGGAGGGCACTACGACATAGGTCCCAGGGCCCAGATGGAAGCCCTGTGTGAAGTTGCTCTTGGCTTTTAAAAGTGCGCCTTGGACTGCATTTCTGAAGTGGGAAAAAAACGTGGGCGGCAATTTCTCCCGGAAGTGCTGGAACTGGAGGGAAACATGCCACTATGAGAAAGCACCCCATGACGCGGCTCCATTCAAGGGGAGACCCTCCGGACACCACCCCAGCCCTGTCACCAGGACAGCATGAAGCAGCCGCGGTCAAGTCAATTCCTACTCCTGCTGATCTCATTCGTGTTGGGATGGGGCTGTGCTCCCCAGCGATTTCAGCGCCTGGGATCTTTTGTAGGGGGATCGCCAGGCCTTTCTTCTGAGGTACCTCTGGGTGACCTCAAACTACCAACCTTTAAGTTAGCATCTAAAAGTGTTAGTTACTGGCACCACAGAGGAAGGCTTTGGGAATGACAGCCCCTGAAAAGGTAGGCAGTGCTTGCTTGAACTCTTATAAAGCAGTATTTGGTCTGAGACTTACTTAGTCTGGATTCTGGAGGCTACAGTGAATGCAAAGAAATATGACACATGATTCTATCTCAGTAAGTCTGGCAGCATCTTGGGTTTTGGATTGTAGAGTTTTATCTTGCTCATACATATATGATGAGTGTGTGTGTGTGTGTGTGTGTGTGTATGATGTAGTGATATTGTCAATGCCGAATACTTCAGGGGCCCTTGAATCCGTTCTTTCTGAGCTTTTTGCAAACACTCTTTGGATGCTCGACTGTGCTTGTTTCACTCTTGCTCTTTTATCTGTTCAGCAGAGTCCGAGATTCCTTCTCATTGGCGAATAATAGGCCCTGATCATGTTCCTTTTATTTCAATATTTTTTTAGAGATAAAACAATAAATATAATGCAGTTCCTATTACCAGATGTCACATAGATATTATATAACACAAACCCCTTACTAAACAAATTTTCCCCAATACAGCCGAGCATGGGGATTCCATTTAGAAGGGTTACAGAGTGTGAAATGATTATTTATGAGATCTGCCTTGGGGGAGAAACAGGGAATAGGGGAGAGTTACTTTTCAGGCAAGGGGGACAGAACTGGATTGCAAGGTGAGGTAAGGATATGCCAGCGGGCCAGGGGTGCGGCAGGGGACTTGCTGGAATGGCCTCCGCTCACGTTAGAGCCTCAGTGGGCTTGGGAGTCTGATTTGCTTGAGCACTTTTGGCAAAAGTGATAATGAGTTCTCCATGGGTAAGCATTGTTCTTTGGTTCTGGGTGTGTGTGTACATGCTGAGGGTAGTGTGTGTGCATTAGGAAGAGAGCTTGAGTGGGCGTGTATATGCATGCATATGTGTGCAGCAGGAGGAAGGCCATGTGTGTGTATGTGTATGTGCATATGTGTGCTTGAGGAGGGCAGTGTTTGTGCATGTGTATGTGTGTGTACGAGGAGTGCATTGTGTGTACATTGCTTATGTGCATAGAAAGGCAGTATGTGTGCATGCATGTGCACAGAGGACAGTGTGTGCATGACTGTGTATATGTGTGCACGAGGAGGGCGGTGTGTATATGTGTGCATGAGGAGGGTAGTGTGTGTGTGTACAAGAGGAGGGCAGTGTGTATGTGTGTGCACGAGGAAGGCAGTGTGTACGTGTGTGCATGAGGAGGGCAATATATGTGTGTACAAGAGGAGGGCAGTGTGTACGTGTGTGCACGAGGAGGGCGGTGTGTATGTGTGTGCATGAGGAGGGCAATGTATGTGTGTACAAGAGAAGGGCAGTGTGTACATGTGTGCACTCAGAGGGTGCCGGGTTCATGCATGTGTGTGTTTGAGAAGGACTGTGTGTGCATGCATACGTGCATGTGTGCCCTTGAGGGTAGTGTTTGTACATAAAAGAGGAGTGTGTGCATGCATGTGTATGTGCATGCATGCATATGTGTGCATAAGGAGGTGGTCTATGTGCATGAGGAAGGCAGTGTGTACGCGTGTATACTTGCATGTGTGCACGAGGCAGGCAGTTTGCATGTATGAAGAGGGCAGTGTGTGTGCATACGTATGTGCATGAGGAGGTTAGTGTGTGTGTGCATAGGGAGTGCATGTACTTAAGGAGGGTCGTGTGTGTGCATGTATGTGTGCTTGAGGAGAACAGTGTTTATGCATGTGTGCATGCAGGGGGCAGTCTGCAGACATGTGCACGAGGAGGGCAGTGCATGTACATGTGTATGGGCACATGTGTGCATGAGGACAGTGTGTGCGCATGTGTATGTGTATGGGTGTGCATAAGGAAAGTAGTGTGTGTGTACTTAATGAGAGTAGTGTGTGTGCGTGTGTGTGTGAGGAGGGCGTTTATGTGCATGTGTGCATGCCTGGGTGTGCATGGGGGTAGTGTGAATGCATAAGAAGAGCTGTGTGTGTGATGTTATGTACCATCGAGCTGGAACCAACCCGTAGCTTACCCTCATGGGTTATCAGAGGCAATTCATCATTTGGGAAAAGATTTTTCCTCTCTCTTCTCCAGAGCAGCTGGTGGGTTTGAAGTGTGTGCCTTTGGGTTGGCAGTACAATGCATGTGTAAAGGTGTACAGAAATTGATATCTGCTTGCTTTCCAGGTCTCCTGACCTCCTCCCTCCTTCAGACCCTACAACTCTGCCTATCACTCTGATTCTTCAGAAAAGACTTGCTCAGTGGTAACGAGAAGGGTGAGTGGGGAGGATATGCGTGGGGGTCTTGGCCCAGAACTCAGTGGTTCCAGCATCAAACGAACACAAGACTAGTCCTGCACAGACCTGATTCCCTAGTTTTAAAGAAGGGGCTTGTGCCTTTCCCTGATGATCATCTGCCTGTCCATCAACGTTGGGAGCTGCACTGCTAACCTATGTTCTGTTCTGCGTGCTTCTCTCAAAGTCCTTTTAGGCGCCCTACTTCTCCTTTGTCCACATTGTGAAGGATCAGGTCAAATTCTGAATCCCAGCTCCATGTCTGCTTTGAGTCAGTGTTTGGTGAGGCTTCTGAGATTCTCTCCCTCTGAGACTCCCTGTCTTGGGTCTGTGCACCAGCCCGGCACCCCCGGAGCACCTGTAGCGGCTTCCTTGGTGATACCAGTTTACCATCAGCACTACATGCTTGTTGTGGTCACATCCTCCTCCCTCCCTTCCTCCACGGCATCTTGGAAGATTCGCCTACCGCATGGCACCAATGGAACTCCAGATCTCACATCCAGATAAGAGGTGCTTGTGGAATTAGATTTTCTGAGCTCGATCTGTTCTTCTCTATCTTTACTCCTAATTTTAGGGTGCCTCTCGCTAACAATGACCCAGAATATTTGTGTAGGAGGGGTGGTGGTTTGGAGGTAAAAGGAGCTGGAGAGCATGTATCTTAGGGCGGCGTTTGCATAGCCTACACCTTACGTGTGGTGGATTCGGGCCTGAGGAAGAATATGAGAGGTTAAAGGATCTCCTTGAGCACCCCCTCAGCCTTGCCACTGTCTCTTGTCTCCTAAAGTTTAAAAAATAATCAACTGTGATGGTTAATGTTAGTGCTTTGGCCAGTTATAGCTCCTTAATGTAATCTGCTGGGATATGGTCAATCCGTTGAGACAGAGTTTCTTTGGGTATGTTCTACTCAGACAATGGAGAGATATTTTGGCAGAATCTGTGTCTTTTAATTCTACGCTTTTCTCATTGTCTGAGCTACACCCCTTGGGATACAAGCCTGCAGGAACCCTTAGCCTGATAATTGATCTACATATTTTAGATTTGTCATCCCATAAGTGTGTGACCAAATCCTTGAGCCAAATTCAGATCTATCTATCTATCATCTATCTATCTATCTATCTATCTATCTATCTATCTATCTATCTATATCTATCTATCTCTACAGTTCAGTTACTAGTTCTGTGTCTCCAGAGAACCCCGGCTAAGAAGTTGACTGTATCAACTCTATTTTCTATGAGGGCCGAAAAGACTTGAGGGCAATTTTGTGGTTGCATTCTCTCTTGAGTGATAAGCCAGAGAACAACCCAGTCATTAAACTAGGACAAATAAAGAATTTCCCCACATTGTTGACCTGTTTGGAGATTTCCAGCTTACCTCTGCCACAACACATAGTGATGTAAGGCTGCTCAGGTTGTACTTAAGGCTTTTAACTTCTAATCAAAAGGCTGGTAGTTTGAACTCACTAATTACTCTGTGGGAGAAAGATGTGGAGATGTGGCCATCTGCTTGGAAATTCTATAAGAATTTCCTATATTCTCTCCTACAGGGACCTGGTGAGTAGGAATTGACTTGGTGAGTAGGAATTGACTTGGTGGCAGTGGGGTTTTTGAAAAGTAGACAGAAACGTGTTAAGGTCACAGATGTTGGAAGAGGCTTGACACTTTACCAACAAACAGTAACAAAGGTGTAAGCAGCCCAGCAGAGAACTGTGGGTAATGGTGAACCGTACCTGGGAGTCAACCTGTGGGAAAGAGGAGGAAAGGCAGGCTCAGTACCTTGAACTCAAACATGATGGCGAGCAAATAAAGTAGCCAGATCCAGGAACTCTGTTTCCCCTTTCCATGTACGTGTTTAACTCTCTTTCAGTACATCTCAGTGTCAGCGGGCAGAGTGCCCACTCCCTGAACAGAGCTGCCTTAAGACATGAAAGCTGACTGGCTGCAGAGGCAGCAAGGGGAGGGAATCTGAGGAAAGGAAGAAAGAGTCAGCAAGGAGGAGACTCTGCCTCTGTCAGCTCAGCAAGGTGACGGGTACTGTTCACAGGAATGGTGAGAACAGTGAGAGGGAGAAGAGAGACAGTGACAAGGGCTTAAGCTAAGATGCAACCAGGAGCAGACCTAAATCCCCCAACACTAAGGCCTCGAAAAAGAAGTCAATTGCTTTTATTCTATGAGACTACTTGAAAACTTGGGGGCCGGTCACCATGCATTGGAATTGATCCAATGGCAGTGGGTTTGGGTTTGAGATCACCTCGAGTCAGAATTGACTTGGTGGCATTGGGTTTATTTGTTTTTTTATTACCACCAAGCCCTGTGTTCCATAGATGATAGGGGTTTTGCCTTCTTTCCCTTTGCTGCTCCTGGGCCCTTATTGGGTATACACACCTACCAGGTGATTCAACCTGAGAGACATAGAACAGAGCTGAGCTGGCAGGGAGGTGGGACCTTTGGGACAGGGTCTTTGGTTTAAGGTGACACAGTTCAACCATTCTTGTCCTTTGTCGCTGCCCTGTCTTCTCCTGCCTATTCACACTCAGCTTGTGTTTGACTTGACATAAGGCAGAACAGTGTTCTCACAGCCAGTGGGGAGCCCTCAGGCCATTCTGGGGCTGGAACCCTGGGCCCAATTCTGTACCCACAAACACCAGTGGAGGCCCAGCAGCTTCTGAGAGCTTGACAACTGAAATGCACATGGCCAGCCCAGCAGTGACAGGAACCTCAGTGTCTCTTGACTTTTCAAAGACTGCACTATCAATGGTGTTTAACTCAATCCAGATCCTGCACGATCTTCTGTGTAGGAGCCAGAAGAGAGCTGGATTCTGATGTCTCTTTGGTGCAGGGCCAGGGGGCAGTTGAGAAAGAATGCATCACTGAGTGAGAAAATGGCCTTGGTGGCATCGAAATAACAAATACAATTATCGTCTTGTTAAGGCTTCTAAACTTTAAAGGCTCTGGGCAAATCAATTAACACAAGACCACTGAGCTACCCAGCTATGGTGCCCAGCTTTCAGAGAGATCATCTGGACAGCACCCCAGGAGTGGTATAATAGGGGCAATCAAGAGCCCTCTCTGGCCTAATGTCTCATTTGGAAAAGGAAGACATGGCTGGAAATCTCTAGCTGTCTGGTGTGGTGTCTGTGCCATCCTCCATGGCCAGATCAAGTTCCTCAGGTTCTTCTCAGTCCTTCCCAGTGACTTTCCTCAGCCTCCAGGCTCCCTCATTCCAGCCTCTTGTGCTTAGGAAGAGAGCTGGGGGACTCTGAGGATGAGGCTTCTTTTACAAGCAGCGTAAGCTGGGATGAACAGAAAGGCAGCTGTTGGAAGCCTTGCTCACAGGGTCCAGGAAAGTCTAGAGAAGGCAGTGTGGAAGGGAGGTGGAACCGAGTGAAGGCAGTGTTGAAGGGAGGTGGAACCGAGTGAAATGTCAACCAGCTGGAACACTCCTGTATCGCCACCCCTGGGCTCAGATGTCCAATAGAAGTAATGACTCAGCAATTCCTACATCTTCTAGTTACTTCCTCAAGAGTCAAAGCCTTGTATGACCAAGAGTGTACCCACCCTGACCCACAGGATACACAAGTGTCCCCAGAGGGCAAACCACAAAGCGGGCTGTCTTTACCTTGAACACTTTGAAGTTCAGTGGAATTTTCTTGTCTGTTGGCAGCAGATTTTGTGGCATGATGGTGAAGGACACAAGGACATTGTTGCCTTCCATGGGTTCTTGCACAGAGAAGAAGTACTGAGGGTCCCTCAGAAGTCCCTCTGCACAAGAAAAACTTGTCACTGCAGCTCCTCATTGCCCCTTACTCCCTTTGTCCTGATCAGAGAGCCTTGGGAGGTTGGGGAATAAACTCTGAATTTGGTGACCAAAAGACTGAGTTCTCGCCCTGATATTTACTAGTTGGGATTTAGGTTTGTTTTCTGAGGCTCAATCTCCTCTTCTTCATGACATGAAGAGAGATTATACTCCCCCTTTGGTGAAAAAGTGTTTCAAACTGTAAAGTCGAGGGTTATATTTTAATCATAACAAGTGAAATTTGAGTCCCCAAGTATACCTGAGCTTATACACTAACATATCAATTCCCAAGCAGCCATGGAGACAGAGCAAATAGGCAGGCAGTGGTAATTTGCAGCCCTCTGCAACCCAAGCCTCCTCAGTGAAGCCAGAGGAAGCCTAACGAATGAACGAATGTGGAAAATGTTAGCTCTGAATGCAGAGAAGGATAGCATTAAGTCAAGGTGGAGGTGATTTAATGCCAAGGAGAACTATCCAGGTAGTCTGAATTAGGAAGGTATAGAGAGGATGATCACAGCTCCAGGATTTTTTGAGGATTGAATGAAATGGACACATTGACATGCACTTAGCAGTACATGGCTGCCTCTTCTCTCACTTGTAAAGGATTATTTAATAATGATTCAATGTATACTTTGGCTTAGTCCATTCATATGCTGTATAACCAAAGAAGGGAGCTTTTGTTCCACAAGCAGGTGGATCTCAGGAAGGTGAACCACTAACTCTGCTGCCTCAGAGCAGTTTGGCATACCCCACAGAGTCTGGCCAAGAGAGGGAAGATTCTGAGTATTGAAGGGAAGGTGACCACTGCAGTGCTGGGCCATTGGAACCAATCCATCTTGATAGATGGTGTCTGAGGATAGAGGGAAGGATGCATATGTCTGGGTACAAAACACACTCTCTCTCTCTCTCTCTCTCTCTCTCTCTCACACACACACACACACACACTCACAAATAAGCATTGCTCACGCAGCCTCTTTTCCAGAGACATGTACCACATACTCAGATTCATCTTCACTGAGAGCTGCACTACTCCTCAATGCCACTCTAGGAACAAGAGGTGCACTAAGAATATGTGATGCTCAACACGATTCATCCCAAGAGATAAAGGTTCTGACATGTGCGTACCACTGAATGTAAGCACTCTCCTGCAGGAGACACCTTGCCAGACAGGGTAGGGATATTCTCTGAAACTAGAGATGCTTTGAGGTCAAAAGGGGGCAGATAAGGATTATTAATCCTGAAGGTGGAGAGACTGAACAGAAAGAGACAATTTCTATCCCTAGAGTTACAGTAGCAACAATGTCAGACTGGAGACTAAGGTGCGCCTGATCCAGGCTACAATCTTCGCAATTATGAGCTATGCATCAGAGAGTTGGACAGTGAATAGGGTTGATAGAAAGAGAATTGATGCCTTTGAGCTGTGGTGCTGGAGAAGAGTGCTGAATATACCTGGACTGCTAGGAAAACAAACAGGTTCATCCTGGAGAGGGTGAATCCAGAATGTTCCCTGGAGTCAAGGATTCTGAAGCTTTGTCTGACATATTTTGGGCATGTTGCAAGGAGGGACTGGTCCTTGGAAAGGGACATCATGTTTGAGAGAGTGGAGGGGCGGCGAAGGAGAGGAAGACCTTCGATGAGATGGATCGATTCTGTGACTGAAGAGGTGAGAATAAGTGTGTTTGAGATGGCTACTTTGGCATAGGATAGAAGAATGTATAGAGCTCTTGTACATAGGGTCGTTATGAGTCGCAAGCGACTTGATGGCACATAACAACAATAACAACAAACAGAGTTACAGTTCTTTTGAAGTGGAGATAATGGTTTAGCCTAGGCTCTGACTCTGGCCCAAGTGCTCTTCCGTATGCTCCATGTCATCCTGAATATTGACTGGAAAGATGGGAGCCGGCTGTACACCAAGAGGCAGATGGAGGTGAGTAGAGGGACACTTGTAGAGCATGAAGGACAAGGAGTATGTGTGCGTTGACGACACACTCTTTATTTGTCTTATACAGGCAACATTTTCCCTGGGAAAAATGTAGTAGCTGCCCCTTGTTAGCGTCAACCCTCTCTCTGCTCAGCTTCAGGCTGACAGTCCAGATTTAGGGGAGCAGTGAGAGCTAAAGCCATGGCAGGACCTGGACTGGACACTCCTGGCAGCAATCTAATCGCTGGTGTGACTGCTACCTGGAGGATTTCCTAGGAGCTCTTGGTTCTTAAACATCACTTCAGACCATCTTTCATGGAGCGTGTTTCCATGGTCCAGGTTGATTGGAATCTGGTTACATATATACAGGCAGGAGAAGTTATCTTGGAAATCCTGACATGAAATCCTGTGGAAAACAGATACCCATTACTACATGACCACTATTCATGGACCAGGGAGTAGAAGGGAACACCCTATCATATTGTTGAACCTTTGCCTTGAAGCTAAGATATCCACTGGCTCAAGACTGTCCTTTACAGACACTAGAGTCTCATTCTTCTCCCCAAAGTCACTCATACCATCCTGGATCCCACAGTAAGGAAGCCCACAATGACAGAGTCACATTCTGAGCCCTGCACATCTCAGAGGACCAGGCAGGAGTTTCATCTACAACTACTGTCTTTACTTAATCTATTGATCAAGTTGCTGATCCTCTTGTAGCTGAAGGGAGCCCTGGTGACCTAGTGTAAGAACCTATATGCTGCGATCCGCGATCCCAAAGACAAGTGGCTTGACTCTATCAACTGCTCCATGAGAGAAGGATGGACAATCTCCTGGGTGATTTACTGCTTCTGAAAACCGGCTGAATGGTCAGCTATGAGTCAGTTCCAACTCAATGGTGTATACCAACAACCTGTAGCTGAAGCCTTGTGACCAGCTCTCTCTGCTCAGATCCCTACATGCTGCCTTCCCTGGGGCCCTTTGTCAAGTTCATTGTTGAGGTCTTTATCAGAATAAATTTGATTCAGCACCTCAAATTCACCTCCTACTCTGATGAGAGTGGAGGCAATGGAGACTTTTCCCTTCTCTTTTATATTTGTCCTTCCTCTGACTCCCAATTATTGAATCCAGCCCCCTTTATAACACTGCCAATTTCATTTAAATGTGCTACTAAGTCAACCAATCATTCAGATAAATGTTGATCTTATCTTCAGGGATGTGACCACATGGATGAGAGTTTGTTTTTAAAATAGCATGCATTTTTAATCATCTAATATGCAGGCAAGAACTAGACAATGACTAAGGAAGGCCAAAGAAATGATGGCTTTGAAATATGGTGTCAGCAAAGAACATTAAATATACTATAGACTGTCAGAATGACAAACAAATCTAACTTGAAAAAAGTAAAAGTACAGCCAGAAAGTTCTTTAGAAGATGGTGGTGAGACTTGATCTCACTAACTTTGTAAATATTATCAAGAGGAATCAATACATAACCAAGACACTGTGTTTGGTTAAATAGAGGGTCAGTGAGAAAGAGGAAGACCTTCAGCAAGATGGATAGACACATGGCTACCCAATGGACTCAAATTAACAACTGTGAGAATGGCACAGGATCAGGTAGTGTCTTATTCTGTTATCCATGAGTTGAATCCTAACAACACCACCACCAGTCATTCCTAACTGCTGGATGTTAGCACAGATATATCATCCAGAAATTTAGGGTCAAGATGGGATAATGAATGTTGTGCTTCCTTTTAAGAGATGCATGAGAAGGGAGACCATGAAACCTTAGGCCCCTAACAGGAAGATAATAGAAAAATATAAGTGTGTTAATCATACACTCAGTGTTCACAAAACTCTGGATTTCAAAGCTCTGATCTTAATAATCTCTTTTACTAAGAATGTATCCTGGAAATGTTAACGTTTTCAAAGGAAAATACTTTCTACACAAAACAATTTCCAATCCTAAGCTTTTGGTAGAGAAAATAGGGCTTTGGTAGAGAAAAGAGATATCCTGTAAACCAGACTGCTAATCTCTATACTCATAAAAGTTTAGAGAATAAGGTAGAAGTAGAAGGCTCAGTTGACAAAGGTTTAAAACATAATTTGTGAAGAGAAGCACATACCAAAACTCTCCATCTTCCTTTTTCTCATAGAGCTGGCCTTTCCGGCGGTCATGGGTTTCCTGCCATTCCTGTGACCTGAGCAAGAAAAAACAAACCACAGGTGAGAGCTCTCAGGGCCACTGCTCCTGGTCTTGAGAAACTTTACTAGGCCCTTTTCACAGGCCTTCATTAGTTACTGAAATGAGCTGCAAAGTGGAGAGTGTCACTCCTCCTTGGGTAGGATTGAGTCTTTATCTAGTTTCCTCGACTCTGTCTCCTGCCCAATCTTATTTTCTGAGCTCTGTGTCATTTCCATATCTTCTCAATATCCCACTGTAATCTCAAAATGAATCTGTTCCAAACTCTACTCAGACTTTCAAGGAGATGGATTGGCACAGTGACTGCAACAACGGTCTTGAGCATGGATGAGATCGTTAGGATGGCACAGGAGAGGGCGAAGTTTTTATCTCTTGTTCTTGGAGTCCCTGTGAGACAGTTAACTCACCATCACCCAACAACAACAAACTCTACTCATCCTCTTCCTCCAGCTATTTTCTAGTTGATGACCTTAGAAGCTGTTCTTAAGGCTTTCTCTCATGCCTCCCTCCCACATCCAAGCAATTCTGTCTCATAAATACTGAAGTATTTATTTGCGTCCTTGCTGTTGTCTAAGCACAGGCCATTCTCATCTTCCTTGTGGACTTTTAACTGGTTCCTGGAACCCATTCCTACCTACCTACCTACCTACCTACCTATTATCCTTTCTAAAACACAAATATAAGTTGTCCCCCTGCTCAAGACACAGCAGTCTTAAGTTAAAATACATCTATTACTCTCGGGATAAATTTCAAACCCATTAAATGAACCCTGTCTTGACTGGCCTATTCCTACCTTTCAGCTTTATTGGGTATTTTCTCATCTCCAATTTCTACTCCTTGAATTCTATTCCTTAGCAATAATGAATGACTGTCTCTGCTTCTTGACTTCCTGAAGGAGCAGAATTCCAAGTACTTTGAGGAACTTTGGTCCATTTCAGATGGAAAACTCTGCCTTCTGCTCACTTTGATCCTTTAGAAGTGATCACATTGTAAAGGTCCCAGAACTGAGCAATGTTAATAACTGTGTCCTGTGATGAATGTTCAAAACTGAGTTAAAGAGAAACCCCAAAGAGACTGACCAAGAGGCTGAGAAAAAGAACAATCTAATGGGTTTAGCTAAGAAGAGAGCTCTAAGAGTGGAGAACTAAGTTTAGCAGCTGTCAGGGGAAATACAGGATTTATTTCTTTAGGACTAGAAACCCCAGGAAGTAGAAAAGAAAAAGAGGCACGTGAAGGGCTTAGAGATTTGTGCTTTCAGCAGCTTCCTGGACTGCTTTTGGTGAGGCGACCACCTTGTGGGGAAATCTAGAAGGCCATCTGTCAGGAGGGAACCTTTGGTTTTAGAGGAGGGGTCTTTGGAGTGAGTGGTAAACTAATTGACGAGTATACTATGTGGTATAGATGCGGTCTCTTGCGTCTTGAAGAGAGGCAAGTATGGAATGCTCGGGGCACTTGTGGCTTTCTTTTTGCCCCAAATGGATGTCAGCAAAGTGGACTTGCCAGATGAATTGAGGGTCTCTGGCCCAGAGTTTGCCAGCATTTGGGTGTGCTGGAATTGTAAAATATAGCTTTAATTGTTTTTGGTCAAATGTTCTTCTAGGTCCTCTAGCCCTGGTGTGTCCACTTGCCATACAGAGAGAACTCGTGGTTGCTTTGAAGCTGAATACTGTGACATTGATATGTCAAATGCAATAACGTTTACCCATGGTGGACAGTGTTTGGTGGAGATCCCCGATGAAAACAAGCTTAGAATCAGGAGTGGCATCAACTTCCATAATAGCTTGCCTTTGGAAACTCTATGAACTTGGAGAAATGATGAAAAGTTATACAAGTGTTCAGGTCTTTTGTTCATAGGGTCGCTATGAATCACCTATGACTTGACGGAACTTAACAACAACAACAATATGTATTATGTTTTTGTGTGCATCAAGTTGACTATAACCCATAGTGACCCTATGAACAATAGATCTGAATTCCACCCTATCCTGTGCCATTCTCACCACCTCTGATATACTTGAACCTATTGTTAAAGTCACTATGTCAATCCTTGTTGATGGTCTTTCTCTCTTCTGCTGTCCCTCCATCTTTCCAAGAGTGATGTCTTTTCCCAAGAATTAGCCTCTCCTATAGTAAACCCAAAGTACAGGAAGTGAAGCTTCAGCATCCATGTCTCCAAGGAGCAAGCTGGTTGCACTTTCTCCATGACATATTTATTTGTTCTTTTGTCTGTCAAGGTAATATTCAGTACTTTTCTCCTGCACCACAACGCATATACGTCGATTCTCCTCCCATAATTTTTTTCATTGTCCAGCTTTCAGATGCATAGCAAAAAATTGAAAATACCATGGCTTGGATCATGCTCACCTGTCTTAAAATGGACATTATTCCACTTTAGCACTTTGGATATGTCTTTGAGAGCAGATTTTCCCAATGTCACACATCTTTTGATTTCTTGACTGCTGGTACCAATACTGTTGATTGTGGATTTAAGATGAAATAATGGGAAATGTCAATCGTTTCTCTGTATGATATTGTCTATTGTCCCCATGGTAAGGATATTTTGTAATCCATATTGAAGGCTGTAGTCTTTGATTGTTTGCAGAAAGCATTTTAAGTCTTAAGTTTCTTAAGTTTTAAGTCTTCCTCACTTTTTCCAAGCAACGTTGTATGTATCATCTACATAAAGGAGATTGTTAATGACTATTCCTCCAATCCTGATGTCACATTCTTCTCCATAAAATCCAGCCTCTCTAATAGTAGAGTATATTTGTTGTTGAAGACATTTATGCCATTGAGTTGACTCCCACTCATAATGACTCTATGAATATAGATCTAAACCTTGCCATTCTCACCATCTCTGATATACTCAATCCCATTGTTATAGTCACCGTGTCAATCTGTCTTGGTCAGGGTCTTCTTCCTTTTTGCTGAACCTCTACTCTTTTTTTCTTTCTCAGAAATAATGTATTTGAATTTTGTAAATAAATTAGTATAATTTAAAAAAACCAAAAAAACAAAGCACAGTATTTATATTTCACATTTGAAGATCAATCCTGTTAAGTATCTTGGGTGAGGACAGAGTTATTAAATGTAGATTAAACAAATATTTTACTTTTTTTAGAAAGTCTATATTCTTGATTTTACAATTTATTTGTTTGTTTAAAAATATAACACTTGGGTTTTTTTCCCCATTTCTTAAAATCATGCTTTAATATCAAAATAAACATAGTAATAATGAAAATTTCAAAGATACAATAAAAAAAGTAAAAAAAGTCAATGAATTTGGCCTTATAATTGAACATCTCAGCTACTTGTCTTCCAATTTCTAAACATACATTATAAGTAACAGACTTTAACTCTCCCTCTGCTAGTAAAATCTTTAACCTTGTTTTTGTCTTAATATGTCTTTCTTTCTTTCTTTTTTAACAGACACTTTATTGCACTATGAACAAAGAACTATACAAAGGGAGAAATCCAAGATAAGAAAAAATCCTTTTATGGACATGTAACCCCCAAAGTTGCACCAAGCTACCACAAGCACATGCACTATACCCAAAAGAAAATCCCTGTGTTGTCTGAAACTTGGTCAATTCCATTTTGAGGTTTTTACCACCTTTTTCATATTACAATGAAAATTCTTCTTTTATAGAGTATTTATATGTTTGGTTTTGTT